CGATGCGGATGCGGATGACGTCACTGATGACGTCATCGGCATCCCCATCGTCATCGTCATTGTCCCTGATTACGTCATCAGTGACATCACTGATGATGTCATCGGCGTCCCCGTCGATATCGTCATCGTCACTAATGACGTCATCAGTGACGTCCCTGATGACGTCATCGTCATCGTCATCGTCTCTAATGACGTCATCGTCATCCGCATCGTCATCGTCACTGATGACGTCAACAGTGACGTCACTGGTGACGTCACTGATGACGTCATCGTCACGTGACCTCATAGGGCTCACGTGACCCCCGTGAGGTCACGTGACCCTCGTGAGGCGACGGTGACGTCGCTCGGAGGGAGGAGTAGCAGACAGGATGAGGAGGTGAGGAGGAGGGAGGAAGGATATACCTTCCCATCGGTATTCTTCCCCTCCTCCTCCGCAAGAGCTGCGCTCTAATTCGGCGTTACAGGGAGTTGTAAACGGCTTTCATTTTTTTTAGGGTTACATAAAAATAACTCAATCGTTCTACCGTGGTAGGTTTCCAGATTAAACGACCCAGAAACATCTTGTCACCATGCGTTACTTCACGTTACGTTACAAAAGCTTGCGTCTGCTTACGCCACAAGACACCGGTACATATCTGCTTCATATTAAACGTGGCTACCAGCTCAAGGAGATGGCCTGGCACGGGACATTCGAGACACGAACGATTCGGTGCCTTATACGTAACGTAAGAAAATGTTAGGAAACATCGATGTGTGAACCAGTCTTCCATAGACGTATCTCACCAGCCAGTTTGTCTACGGCACCGCTGCAATAATGCATTCAGGGAACTTTAGTATTTTTGCACATACAACGACCTCGCTAGAGCTTTGCGCGAGCAGAGTGTGAGACGGCACGAGCCGTGTCGTGCACTGCCGCCTTTCGCCTGTGAACTTAAGTTATGACGGCGTCACGTATGCGCCACTGCTTGGTGAGATAGGTCTATTCGGTAAACGAGGTCAGAACGCAGTTTTGAGTCTAAGCCTAATGGCGTAGTAGGACCGAGGTACCGTGGGTTCATACCTTGTAGATCTTCGACTTTTTTATATTTTTGTGCTATATATGGTACCCTAGAATAAATTGACTTCGATCTCACATGAAGCGTAACTTGCGTCAAATATACAAAAAAAAAATCCGCCTGATCCGGGACTTTCCTAAATCCGGCTTGTCCTTGGGGATGTCCCGTAAAATTACTATATCACATTATAGATATAACTTCGTTCCGAGGGCCACTTTAGTTTGTAAGAAAAAACAAGAACGAATGAGAAATGAAACAATATGAAGACAAATTTGCCGATTAACGTTGCATGTTTCGACGCTGGTAAGTTATATATCTCTCGATGCGAGATGACGACGCACCAATCATTCTCGATTTCTTAAGGCGTTTTTCTCCTCGTGGAATGTACTAAGAGTCCTTCAGAACATCGGACCCTCATAACAGGTGCATGTCATGCGACAGCGTCCGGCAGTAGCGACTTGTGAGGGTCGACAGCTTTGACTTCGAGAACAGAAAAATGCGAAGCCATGTTTAATGCTCGGACAAAATTGGGAGCCAGTGTGAATGGTTTACTACGCAAGAAACATTTAACGACCATGGAAGAAATTGATTGTCTCTCAAGATGCTCCTCGATATGGCACGCCAGGGAATATTTAGTTGATAGAGGGTTGCTACAGCGGATATTGCGCTGTAAAACAAATCGAAAAAATTGGCGCCTGCACATAAGAAGCTCATGCTTTTGCTAAATATCAAAAGGGGTCATTTTTACTTCTTGAAATTTCAAAGCATGCATTTCTTTTTTGTAAAATATGAAACCAACTAACTCGTGAAAGTCAACAGCGGATGTTTTCGTAGGCGATCGAGTTAGCAATAAATGGAACTTGTAACGCCATCTCCAAATAAGCGTAGAGGGAAAACGAGGAATTCTGTTGTCATCTCGCATCGCCTATTGGAAAACTGTTATGCAAGTAAGAATACATTTCTAACTTTGTCGTCTGCGAACAAGTCCACTGTCAACTTCGGCAAGCTTGTGGGTCTCATTTTTTACGCGAAGAGAGCTACGCCTTGATATACAGGCAGGTGCTATACAGGCAGGTACTGGTTGTTACGGCACTATGACAGAACAGCACACGACAAAACAGCACGCGACAAAACAGCACGGTCAAAACAGCACGCGTCAAAACAGCACAGCGTCAAAACAGCACGGCGCCAAAACAGCACGCGTCAAAATAGCACGCGACAAAACAGCACAGCGTCAAAACGGCAAAGCGACAGAAGAACACGTGCCAAAACAGCACGGCGTCAAAACTGCACAGCGTCAGAACAGCACAGCGTCAAAACAGGATATTGACAATATAGCTAGGGTTTGGCGTTTTCGGTTTTTATTATTTTGAAACTCGGCGTACATTTTTCGGTTTTTATTCCAAGCAGAAGTTTTCGGTTCCTTGCTGAGAATATTTGTAGACACATAAACGTTTGAGTTCTTTTCGGTTTATTGACGAAAACCAGCATAGTGACGAAAAGGCGATATTTAAAGGCGTTTCTTTAAAATGAATAGTGAGTAAACCAGGTACTGGATTTTTTATTTGTTGCTGTCTGTGGCAGCCGATGCGACCTGTTCTGCAAGACGCAGTGGGGCCCTATCGTGATCTGACATTATCGTCGTGGGCTCGTATTTGTACGCAGATGAACATGAGCTTTACTACCACTTCGATCGGAAAGGCAAATATCAATATCCAAAAATTTGCAAGCATTGTACTCAGTGCGTCTTTCCCCCATTTTCACAACTGCGAGAGGTGGTTAATTCACGCAGACCAAGAAACGGCAATAATGCAATCATACTTATGACCTCCTCTAGTAGACGGAAGCTAGGGGTGTTAAAAAATGTGCGGCATTTCTGGATGCCCTTTAATTTTATTGTTCAGTTGACGATTAAACTCTCTTCTTTTGAACAAAGAATTCGGCACACAAATCCCTATCAGGTGAAAAACCCAGATTTCGTCCTGAAGACCATTACGTCGGTTGAACTTTTGTTGAAAGGTGAACCGATCTCGGAAACAAGCTGAAAACTGCTAAAGGAGGAGGTCATGCGGTCAGTAATGAGGCACGTTCCCGCACCCACCCCTCCAAACGCCCTTGAAAATGCTGACCTATTTCAGTTAAAGCGCAATTTGTAAAAAAAAATTTCGTCGTACTTTTACTTGTTTTATCGGTTTAAGCCGAAAACGCTGCGCCCTAATTAGAGTATATGCAGTTAAAAAATTCATGTCTCAAAGTAGGCACTGTAAAGGAATGGAGGGTCTAGGCCAATTCCTCGAAGGTGAGCTTGTCGACGGCCAGTATGTCGAATCCGTTCTCATGGGAGCAAGTTGGGAGTGAGGGGTATACTCGATGCGCACATGAAGGCACCGTGGGCAGTACCGAAGCCCCCGCTGGTGCGTATTATGGCTATTTCTCGAGCAGTTCTGCTGATATTGACGCGCAAGTTTGCTGGTGATGTCGTCTACAATAAATGAATCAATCGCACGGTAATGTGCTGTTGCTAGTTGTTAAAAAAAAGTGTGTGCGGCAACGGTGTGCTTAGCCCATGCTGTACGGCAACAGCATTGAGGCTATGGCATGTTTCTGCTTCACCGGTTTCCACTCGATCGAGGCCCTTCGTCGGCAATAATCTGTGAATTTAACTCAAAACAACTTCTCGCCTGCAAGCTGCAGCCGCGTGTTTCCGGGACATTTATTTCACGCTGAATGAACCCCGCAGAATCGGTGCCCATGGTACACCTTGAATTCGCTCGACATTAAAGTTGCCTTATCTTCCCGGTTCTTTCAATGCATCTGTAATTGCCGCATCTCCCGCTTTTTTGGGGCGACGTTTTACGCTTAAGTGGTAATTACGAAACGACGAGTACCCTCACCGGACCGCCGCAAACCAGACGGTTCATAACTTGAACTTATGGATATTTTTTTTCGCAACAACTTTTCTTCTTTCGCTGGGTCTAAAAAAAAAAAAAAAAAAAAAAAAAAAAGAAAAGAGACCAGACAACGCGTCCAACATTGACGCGAAGATATCACCTCTAACTACCCAATCAGCGTAGTTAAGTAGTATTACTTAACTACGCTGATTAACTACTTAACTACGTAGAGATCAGCGTAGTTAAGTAGTATTAACTACTGGTGCTAACTTCGTTTGTTTTTATCAATCACACTGCAACAGCCGTCGGGACACTGAATTAGCAATGAAATAGGCATGAAATTCCTTTATAACCTAGCGACAATAAATGAAAGGGTTAAGGAGGTTCGAAAATATTCGCGCAGAGGGAGGTGAAGAGCGCGCTCGAAGTTGCTACATACGTGCTGTTTTGTCGCTGTGCTGTTTTGTCGCTGTGCTGTTTTGTCGCTGTGCTGTTTTGACGCCGTGCTGTTGTGGCACGTGCTCTTTTGTCGCTTTGCCGCTTTGACGCTGCGCTGTTTTGTCGCGTGGTAGTTTGACGCCTGCTGTTTTGTCACCGTGCTGTTTTGACGCTGTGCTCTTTTGACGCGTCCTGCTTTGACCGTGCTGTTTTGTCGTGTGCTGTTCTGTCGCGTTCCCGGTTTTTACGGCTCATCTTACAGCGTGAAGTGCACTGCAGGCACCCAATAAGATTCAGGGTAAGTTATGGCCTTCAAGTGCTGGAGCAGGAGAAACTGATTAAAGTAAAGTAAATGCTATTTCGGACATTTATAGACCCGTTTCAAATCGTGCTCGCCCTCTGTTAGCTTCTGCGCCCGCTAAGCGAGGCAGCCATGATTTGGTTACCTTTATTGAGATTGGACACCGGCGTTACAACAGCGTAGCAATTACAAGCTTCGTGCCACAGAAATGCCAACGTCCAATGTTGCAGGATAGAATTCTGAAAGGATTCTAGTGCTGTCTGCTTGGCTAAGTGCATTCTGTACGAGCTGGTCTCCTGCGGGTGACGGGCTTACCCTTTTGTGTGAGATCATGGCTGCCGGCAGCATGTAGTCCACGATTGAAGTGTCGTTTCCCAACATAGCGTGCAGAAGACAGTACTGGCCTCTAACACTTTCGTAACCAAACTCGTCGTGCACCACCGTCTCTACGCACTCGTCGAATGCGCCCAGATCCATACGTGTTCCTTGAAGTAATCCCGTGGGGTACTTGCCCGTTGCGTCAATCACTGCGAACAAAGACATCCCTTGATGGACTCATAGCCACATGGAGCGACGGTTTGTTATGCGTATGAGAGGTGCGGGCGTTTTTTTTTCGACAAGATGACTTCAGGCAATGCTGACTTTAACCCTCCACTTCAAGGACGTATCTAAACTTGGTTTATTATCATTGTTTCGCCGCATGTTTTCATGAGGTACAAACATTTTATTAAGATATTTTTAAATGTTAGCTTCACTAGACTTGGAAGTTCCCTGTATCTTCTTGTTAACTACGTTATATCTACCCGTCCCCAACTGAAATCTCTGTCTGGGGTTTTACGAGAGTTTTACTTGTGATGGTGGACACTTACTTAAAACGGACTTTGGACTCATGCTGGTAAAACAAGGAAGTTCCTCGTTCTTTGAGGAGTGTGCTTAAGTGTTCTCTCTTAATCCTACTCGGCTGCGGCTCGCTGCCGAGTATTCTTACTTGGACACCGTTTGACAGCGATTAACGCACTATATTTGAAAATAAAACCCAAGGTAATTGCTTCCTTAGTTAGCTCACTACCAGTCAAAAGTTTTTTTAGTTTATTACTGGCTTCACTGAGCATTCACTAATCTTTACTTTATTGGACAATTGAAACCAAAAGCCATCCTTGGGGATGATTGTAGTAGTCTAATGTAGTGTTTACGCAAATGTTCACTTCAACCCAAGACACCTTTAAGCTTACAAGTATTTTTTACTCTCGTTAAATCAGAGTGAAACCAAATTACAAAAAAAGAAATATGCAAAAAATATTAAACTTACGTCTTAAAGTCCATGGTTCTAAGCTTCGGACACCACGCACGAGCTTCAACAATCCCAGCATACAACTGGGAGAGAGTTCCGCCGCCAGAAGCTTTCTGGTTAAAGTTGGGGCCGAGGTGTCTAAGACGCCGTTCAAGAGATCACGTAAGATATCCATGAGAGTCGGCCTCGGGGCTGTCTTCGAAGTCACGCGGGCAGTGTTCGCGCTCGCGCATTGCACGTTGTTTGCAAAGCTCTGCAGCAGCAGCAATAGCACCGGCAACGCCAGGATCAAGATGTTCCAGGCAAAGAACACGCTAGTCGCGTGCTTCATTATGACCCCTCTGCCGCCTAGAGATCTCAGGGCTCGCAATGTTTACGCTTCCCAGCGTTCGGTCTCGAGTGGAACGTAACGCATCAGTGGGTCTCAATTTGGGCCCGGATTTGCAGATTAGCTTCTGTTTCGCTTGGGACTTTTTGTCGTCCCCCAACAGTTAGTGCATCGTCTTCTGCGCCGAAGTTCAAGGACGAAGGGCGGGAAGCATGAAAACTAAAGTAGGCAAAAAAAAAAAAAAAAAGCCATAGAAAGTCACGGATGTAACACGTTTGTTTTTTTAGTCTTGCGCCCGCATTCGTTGAACATAACTTAATGACCGGGGAGTTGCTTACCTAGGCTGCCACGTTTTTTTCTAGGCACATTTCTCGTGTAAACCGGTCATTGCACGTCCTTGAAGATGCATTCGCTTTGAATAGACCGGAATGTCGGTCGTCGAGAGAAAATGAACATCGGAATCCATTAACAGGCTTGAGTACGGGAAAAGTGAAAACCCGAATATTTTATCCTATGATTGAAGGGCCAAGTAGAGATTAAAAAAAAAAAATACACACACACGTTAAAATTATGCGGCTTATTTAAATAAGCAGTAATGCAAACTGAATCAGAGAGTGTATAAAACTTGTTTGAGATTGCATGTTTTTGATGTTTTCGCCGGTTTTGCTCGCCTGGTATCAAAGTCTCTTGGCTTTGACTGAACTTGGGATCTCAAAGAAGCGTATTCGTGAAATGTGCTAAACCGAGTGCCAAAACATGCTCTGAGTCAGGCACGTAGCCAGGATTTTGTTACGGGGGGGGGGAGGGGGGGGGTAGGGGGCGCTCATGACAAAATGCTATATGAGGGGGAGGGGGAGAGGAGGCCCCAGCAAAATGGAAGATTTTGGAGGGGGAGGGGGGGGGGGGGGGGGCTGGGTACGTCGGGAGGCACGTAGCCCCCTGGCTACGTGCCTACTCTGAGTGCAGGGAACTGGGCTAAGTTTCTGAAAAAAACTCCCTGTACATTTTATTTAAGACTAAAAGGATAACTCAGAGAAACATTTACAACCACACAATTGAATATTTAGCTGACTGAATTAAAATATACACTTCTGATTGATCTTTCTTCAGTGTGAGGCCGTGAGCGTTTCATGGAAATAAATTTCGTATATACTCGTAAAAATTTCACCAACCCCGCGCCAGACTAACGAATTAACATAAACGTAAGAGTTGAGGACATCTTATGCCCGGTCCATTGCATCGCATAAAAACAGGAAAATGAGTTACGTTTGCGTGCCCTCTGAAGGTAGTTGTTTTTGTGCGTTTGGCATGAAAAATTACCGTAATGAATGTGCGTCTTTTTCATGGTCAACAGAGTTTCACATCTGATGTCGCTGAGATTAATGCGGCTAATGAAGTCTTTTTGGCTTCGACATGGCTGATTACTTTTCGGGCTGTTTTCCCGCCATTCAAGGCATTTATCGCTTCCGACGTTGGATCAAGCTCCGTTTAGGCTCCGGTCATACGCTGTACATAAGTGGGTTTTTAGTTTTACTTGAGAAACAAACTCGAAGTTGCAAAGTTGGTCACTAACGAAGACGGATTAAAAAGGTGTCGAAATATTTAAGAAACCAATAGATTCGTAATTTACTGTTCCTTAACTGGTTGTTGACTGGTCTTATGAGTAGCTCTGGAAATAGCGGGACAAAATATTACTAAAATGGAAACACAGTCAGGAAATAAAAGGAAAAAAAAAAGAAAAAAATCGGGACACTTTCTGGGACAAGTGTGCTACTGTGAGTACACTCAAGGTGTTCGCGTTAACGTTAAAAATATTTATCATTAAAGCACACGTTTTATTTTGTGGCTTGACGGAAGGGGTCACAAAACATATCAAGTAACTGTTTACTTATAATCTGTCTTCTCTGAGATTTTTGAAGTCGGAGAACATCATTTCACTTCTACAGAGACGATTGGCAAAAACCTGAGTTCTTTAGTGCCTCCAACCAAATCATAAGCACATTTGGAGTTCGGTGAGCGTACCCGTTTATGCCAGAGTTTCCCTCAAGCGACTTATAAAGTTTATTTTTCGAACGCCAGTACATCTCTGTCACAAAAACCTAGATTTTAAACTGCGTTTATAGATCAAGCCTCGCTGTTTCCATCCTCGCATTTGTGTTTGGGCTAAATCCGTACTTCTCGATACTCTACAGCTCCCAGGCAAGAGCGTCGCTGATCTAAATATTTTGCAAAAGCTTCGTGGCAGCAGTCTTCTGCTTTAATATTTTTATGGGCTCTTCCACATTGCCGTAGTTTTGCGCGTAGTGCGTTGCTGCTCTTAGAAATGCAGCTAAAGCGAAAGACTGCGACATTCGCGTCTTGCCTATGCGAACATGTTATAAACGGGCGAAATGCACATTGTATAATGGCGTGTAAGATAAATAACGCGACACTTAACGACAAACCTGGACTGTCAGGACAGCCTGCGAACTTTCAGAACACTTAGTGTAATCACGAGACATTTCAGGAAAACAGCCCAGGCAGCATACGATTTTGGGCCAATATTGAAAGAGCATTGGGAAAAAAAGTTCCCATGATGGTCCACTTCAGCCAATCTGCTCCCAATACTGTTTATGCCATTATATAGAATCTGCAGTGATGGAGTAACTTATCCAGTGACCAACCAATATTAGAAGGACAATGGCATTAATTAAACGGGCAATATGCGAATATATGCCTCGCAAGTGGGCTCATTTTCGTGTTCTGCGCATAAGAAAGGAAGTAGCGGTGACGTCAGAACGCCGAACTCTCATTGGCTGATCGCGACCCCCTATCTCAGCGTCGTCTGCTCCTTTGCAACGTCGTCTGCTCGCAACGTCGTCTGCGTCTGTCTTACCTTTCCTGCGACTTTCGGAGCGAACTCGACCTCGCCTTTAAGAGAGGGCAGACGAAATAACTCGAGCGGTACGTTGTTTTTGTCTAACAACTAGCAGACGCGCATCAAGGAGGGAAGTCAAAGGACTCCCTGGCGAGGTGTCCCGGGGCACCGAGGTTTTTTTTGCTTAGAACCGAGGCAAGTTCCCTCCCAAACACTTTTTCCCTCCATTCGTGCGCGGCGAGACCCCTCACTCTTTAACGGCGTCGGCGGGTTGGCGCAGTAAACGTCGTCTGCTTTACGTCTGCTAGTCAAAGCGGTCAAGGCGATGGCTGCATTACCTTTGCTGCGTCTGTCGGAGATTCACCGCTTTTTCATCGGCGAGAGTCACCGTTGCCTCGGCAAACAAGGAGATAACAAGAGGAAGAAATTGACATTTTAATCTAAAACTGAGGTCAGCAATCAAAATATGATACGGGAAGGGTTCACAAAAGTCGCGCGGGCATATTCCACTCAGCACGCCAGCCGGTCGTGGGCAGACGGTCGCCGAGTCGCGGAGAGCCTGCTAGGCCTAACTGCGCAGCTCGTTTGGTCGCGTTCGGTGGGATCGTGGCCGTGGGAGCTTTTCCCGGGTGTTTGTGGATCCAGCGTTCTTGTTCGTCGTGGTCTGTTTCAAGTACTTTTTACTTTTTTCTTGCTGCTTGAAGTCGGGACGCGTCAGAACCGCACGTAAAAAAATGAACGTCCGTGGGTCGTCGCGACCGCGACGTTGTCGGCCATGCTGATTGGATCGTAAGAAGTGCGTAAGACAGCTTCGGAGCTGTCGTAGGATTTTGTCGTAACCTGCGCAAAACTTACGAAAATTTCGTTTCGCGAATACGAATTTGTTCTTATGTTTTGTCTTACGCACATTTTTGGCGTAAGATCGTTTCTTGAATCTGGCCTCTGCACTTCCGAAAGTCGCAGGAAAGGTAAGACAGACGCAGACGACGTTGCGAGCAGACGACGTTGCAAAGGAGCAGACGACGCCCAGATAGGGGGGCGCGATCAGCCAATCAGGGCTCGGCGTTCTGACGTCACCGCTACCCCCTGCGCGAGAAGCAGACGAACTTGCCCTCCGCATTGGATGAACACAGGCACTAAATAAGCAATGTCGTTCTGCGAGTTCCATTGGCTTGCGAATATTAGGTGAACACTGGCATTAAATGGACAATGTTGGTCTGTCAGTTCCTTTGACTTGCGAATATAGGATGAACATTGGCATAAAATGGGCAATGTTGGCCTGGCAGTTCTATTGGCTTGCGAATATTGAATGAACCCTGGCAAAATATTGGCCATCTTGGACTTACAGTTCCATTGGCTGGCGAATATTGGATGAATACTGGCATAAACCGGTAAGTGTTGGCCTTTGAGTACCCTTGGCTTGCCAACATTGGATGAACACTGGAATAAAGTGGTAAACGTTGGCCTGTCGGTGACATCGGTATTCCAATATTTGACGGGACTAAAAAAAATGGGCACTCGGCTTGTCTGTACATTGGCTTGCCAACGTTGAATAAACACGAGATTATAATGGTAAATGTTGGCCTTTTAGTACCATTGTCTCATCGACATTGCGAGAACACAGTGGCATATAATGGTAAATGTTAGTCTTACAATACCGACGAAGATAATCCCTGGAGAAGGGATTATCTTCGTCTAACCCCTGGTTAGCTCAGTTGGTAGAGCACTCCACCTGTAATGGAGAGGTCCCGGGTTCGATACCCGGGCCAGGCGGATTTTTTCAGACGCTCACCAGTCACCTAGCTGTGTTTGGAGATTTATGTTTGTCCTTTGTCCCTCTTGTTCCCCTTCTCCTGGGATTATCTTCGTCATTATTATCCAGCTCGCTTACACCTTTGCATTTAATAGAATTATAATTATCACCTTAAATTTGCAAGCTTCACCCTTGTTGGTGTTAGACTGGTGGCAGCTGATAAAACCCGTTTGCTCTACTGACGTCTAACTCCTGGTTAGTTCAGTTGGTAGAGCGCTCCACCTGTAATGGAGAGGTCCCGGGTTCGATACCCGGACCAGGCGGATTTCTTCAGACGCTCAGCAGTCACCTAGCTGTGTTTGGAGATTTATGTTTGTCCCTTGTCCCTCTTGT